TGACTGTTTAATGTCACTATGTCTGTTTTATATAATAGTATAGTTGGATTTTTTGTATTAATTTGCTTCCTCATGATGGATGGTCCAGGGTAGAAAATGTTGGGTCAGTCTATCCAAAAAGAACTAACTATAACAATGTTTGTTTTTAAGAATTATCCTTTTTATCAACATATGTATAAATGAAATCTTTGCCCTGATGGGAAAGAACCTCCTCTGTGTTCTGCTCTCAGGCAGTAATTATCCTTGAAGCTCCCTTCACCTTTTCATACCTTAGATGTTCTCATAATACCCACTCAATAGTTCGCCTTCTAAGTCAGATAAAATAGAGGGTCAGGAAGAAGAAAATTGGGCATATGACTAGATAGTTACTGTTCATCCTATAAGGGTTCAAATCACTATTTTTATTGTTATTTTTATTTTTTTAATCCTCACCCAAGGATATTTTTCCACTGATTTTTAGAGAGAGTGGAAGGGGGAGGGAGAAACATCGATGTGAGAGACATCAATTGATTGCCTCCCACACCCGCCCCTACCGTGAATCAGACTGAGCCTGCAACTGAGGTACGTGCCCTTCAGTCCAAAGGCTGATGCTCTGTCCACTAAGTCATACTGGCCAGGGCCACATCACTATTTTTCAATGTATAATTTAGTATAGAGAGTTTAGCATCAATTTTGTTTCATCCCATGCACCTATAGAGTAAAAATGTGATTTATAATATCTTTAGTATAACAAACTTACACCAAAAAGTAATTAGGCTTCCAAGTTTATTATAATGACATTTTAACAAAACATAATTCATTTTGAAATATGGGCTCTTACATTGAATTAAACAGGTTTTGATTATCTGAAAAGGTATTTTATTTAAAGAAAGGTACAACTTCATGATCTAGGGAATAGTTACTTGTAAATTATAAGTTTATAATTGAATACTGGCTTAATTGAATACAGTTATAATTGAATACTGGCTTAATTGAATACAGTTATAATTGAATACTGGCTTAAGTTTTTATTATATAAGACATTTAATTTTAGTATTTAAAATAGTGATCTATACTTTAAAAAAAAAAGAGTTTAATACAGGCATACTTGGAGATATTGCAGGTTCAATTCCAGGCCGTCGCAATAAAGTGAGTACAGGCATACTTCAAACATATTGCGGATTTGATTCCAGGCCACCATAATAGTGAGTATCTCCATAGAACAAGCCATAATCTTTTTGCTGGTGGAGTGTCTTGCCTTCAGTTTGTAATAAGAATAGGTATGCCTTTATACAAATTGACCTTTGCCCTTCTTTGATTCTCTTATAACGGTATATATTGCTAGTTTCCTTATTGGGAATGCATAATAGTCATTAACTACACCTCTTCCTCATTTTTTTGGTAGATAGTCCTTGTTTCAAAACGGGGAGAAAAGCACTTAGAACTCTTAAGTTCTTATCTATCCCTTGTTTGTACCATAGCATGTTTTTTCTTCTTTGTCTTAATTTTAGGGACCTTTACTTTAAAGTGACCATCACAAATAGAAATATCAAGTTAAACCTAACAAGAGATTTCTACCCAAAAGGAACACCCTAGTCCAGGGGTGGGCAACCCCTGGCACATGTGCCAAACATGGCACGCCAGTAACTTTTGCTGGCACACGAAACCCTCTCTTATAATCTTCCATTTACAACTTTTTTCTTAATATCGACTTTTTTATTTTTTAGATAAATTCAGTGTAGGTGCATCATAGATAAATAAATAATTTTACATGACAAGTTATCTTAAAGACCACAGACATGGATTGACGAGAGAGGAGAAGAGCAGTTTCTATGCTCTGCCTTAACTCTCTGAAGGTTATGAAATATAAACCTGATGTAAAATCTCTGTCATCAGTGATGCAGCAGCAAAAGTCCCACTGATAATATCAAACAGAGTCATAAAGTGTTCTGTTGGACTATCAGTGTACATGTATTCATTAAAAAATAATTGTATTTTTCATCATCAAATAACTGTTTTTGTCACTCAAATGAATTTTATTATTTCTTGAAGGTTCTTCACATACGTACACCTTAAGAGATATCAAGTAGGCGTAACATGTTCTCAAAAAATTAGGTTAGCACACAGAAGAATTTTGAGTCAGAGATTTTGCTGGTTTTGGCACGCTCTCACAAAAAGGTTGCCCACCCCTGCCCTAGTTCCAACAGTGTACAAAGGATCAGTACTGGCCTATCAAACCAACTAAAGGTAGCACATGAAGCACCCACAGATATTAGCCACAGACACACACACACACACACACACACACGTATACATGTATATATATGCCTTTTATCCTTTAATGTCTTTAAAAATATAGTATTTGATACAAACTAAAAAAGTATAATATCTAAGTTTAAAATATAGCTATGATCCTATATTGTACTAATGATTTCATACCTGTATGAAAATGTTCAGGTAGCCGAAACTGGTTTGGCTCAGTGGATAGAACGTCAACCTGCAGACTGAAAGGTCCCAGGTTCGATTCCGGTCAAGGGCATGTACCTGGGTTGCGGGCACATCCCCAGTGTGGGATGTGCAGGAGGCAGCTAATCGATGTTTCTCTCTCATCGATGTTTCTGACTCTCTGTCTCTCTCCCTTCCTCTCTGTAAAAAATCAATAAAATATATATTTAAAAAAATGTTCAGGTAAACTCGTGTGTGAGAAAGAATTTATGAATCTAAAAATAAAGTGGCTCACCACTTAGAATGTGGTGAATATATGTAATATAACGAATATATCAACTATAAATTTTCTTTTTTTAATCTATTTTTACTGATTTCAGAGAGAGAGAGAGGGAGAAAGAGATAGAAGCATCAACGATGAGAGAGAATCACTGATCGGTTGCCTCCTCCATGCCCCCTACTGCAGATCAAGCCTGCAATCCAGGCATGTGCCCTGACCAGGAATTGAACTGTGACCTCCTGGTTCATAGGTCAATGCTCAACCACTGAGCCACACCGGCCAGGCTCAACTGCTAATTTTAAAATATTAACATTACAAATGTAATTGTGGAAAATAAAACTCAAATAATATCTGTTTGGATTTTCTGTATTTTGCCTTACAGATAGTGATTTATGTGTTGACTACCAGATTTTTTCAATTTTTTGATGGTGGTAAAATACACATAATATAAAATTTACCTTCTTAACCACATTTAAATGTATGGTTCAGTGGTATTGAGTAAATTCATTACCCCCATACATCTTCATAACTTTTTTATCTTGTAAAATTGAAATTTTCTATAGTGAAATAATAACTGCCCATTCACCCCTTCTCCCAGACCTTGGCAACCACCATTCTACTTTTTGTCTCTATGATTTTGACTATTCTAAGTATCTCATATAAGTTTAATCATACAATATTTATCTTTTTGTGACTAGCTTAGCATAATGTTCTCAAGGTTCATCCATGTTATAGTATGTGTCAGAATCTCCTTCCTTTTTAAGGCTGAATACTATTCCATCATGTATGTATACCACATGTCACTTATCCCTTCATCCATCCATGGATATTTGGATTGCCTCCATATTTTAGCTATTGTGAATAATGCTGCTATGAACACGGATGTACAAATATCTCTTCAACACTCTATTTTCAGTTTTCTAGGGTATATATACCCAAAAAATAGAATTGTTGGATCATATGGTTATTCTACTTTAAATATTTTGAGGAACCACTGTACTGTTTTCCATAGCAGTACATTTCCAAAAAAGTACCATTTTATATACCAACAGGGCATAAGAGTTCCAATTTCTCAACATCCTCACCATTCTGTTTTTCCTTTTCTTTTTAAATATTTTTTTAATTGATATTTTACAGAGCGGAAGGGAGAGGGATAGAGAGCTAGAAACATTGATGAGAAAGAAACATCGATCAGCCTCCTCCTGCACACCTCCCACTGGGGATGTGCCCGCAACCAAGGTACATGCCCTTGACCAGAATCGAACCCGGGACCCTTCAGTCCACAGGCCAACACTCTAACCACTGAGCCAAACCGGTTAGGGCCCATTCTGTTTTTCTTTGTTTGATAGTAGCCTTGTAGTTTTGTGAAGTGATATTTCCTTGTAGTTTTGATTTGAATTTCCAAAATGATTAGTGATGTTGAACATCTTCTCATGTGCTTTTTGGCCATTTAAAGATCTTTTTTAGGGAAATGTCTATACAAATCCTTTGCCTATTTTTAATTGGGTTGTTTGTTTGTTAATGTTGGTTGTTGAGTTTTACAATTTCTCTATATATTCAGGATATTAATCCTTTATCAGATATTTTTTTTGCAAATATTTTTTTCCGTGGATTGTTTTTCACATTGTTGATATTTAGAATTCTAAACCTGCTGTCAAGTGAACTGTCTTTTACCCCCCTCTTTTTAAGTATTTAAAAATTTCATTGACATTTTAGGGTCTTCTAGCTGCTATTTGAGTTGATAGTAGCAAGAATGGACTCTGATCCTAAACTAGTTAAATGTTGTTTTGAGCTAAGTACTATGCTATTTTTAATAAAGAAAATCAAATCTGAGAAGAGAAGAAAGAAAAAGAACTACTTTTTAGGATCCAGACTTTGAGAACCTGTACCGACCAAACATTTACTATAGTTTAAAACTAATTATTTACAAAGGAAGATAACAGTGATGGTTTAAGTTTCTGTGAGCTAAGTGTAAACTGGAGTTTTCTTATGCCCAGTCTCAACCTGCATTTTCAAAGAGCAGTAAACCAGACTTCTAATGAATATGATTTGCTGGGCAGTGCTTAAATATATATAAAATACTTTCTACATAGACCCCATCATACATATTTATATACATGGGCATATGTTTTCCTTTACATAAGTGTATGTCTATATGTATATAAATTTTCAAATAAACAAATGCAAAAGTATACATGGTATCTAGCTTACAGGATTAGAAATGTAATTTAGCTTACTCCCACAGAATAAGATTGAAGATAATGAGAAGTGAATTAAAGCTTACTTTCTTTCACAGAATTCCTCAGAGAGAGAAGACTGTAATAATGGCGAACCCCCTAGGAAGATAATACCAGAGAAGAATTCACTTAGACAGGTATGAAATACAATCTTACTTAAAAGGTTATCAATTAAACAAAAGATAGGAAACCCTTAATTTGCCATTCATTAAACATGGGAGCTTAAATTAAGAGTACTTTGAAGTTGGTGTGGCTATAGCCACCAATTTCAATCAGGTAACATTGTTTTCCCAATCTTTAAAAATATCCTAGATATCCCAACTGTGTAGCTCTGTTGGTAGGAGTGTCATCCCATACACCAAGAAGATTGCAGGTTCCATCCTGGGCCAGAATTCCTACAGGAGGCAGCCCTTTGATGTTTCTCTCTTACATCAATGTTTCTCTCTCTCTCTCTCTCTCTCTCTCTCCCCCCCACCCCCCTCCCTCTCCCTTCTCTTTCTAAAATCAATAAATATATCCTCAGGTGAGGATTAAAACTATATAGTATATATCTTAGGAATACAATTGCTTACCAGTAGTCAAAACAAAATCAAAGTAAAGGTTTCTATTTTAGGAAAAATAACTTGAAATGCTTCTTAAGTACAGATAGCAGAATAGTTGCCTTTAAACCTTATTTCCCCTTTAAGATTCTCCATACATTAAAAAAGAATTAATAATCAGAAGGGATCTGCCTATAGTGAGTTAGCTCCTTCTAATCTGATCAATATTTGTTTGCCTTTCCTGGACATAAAGGCCATTATTGATGACAACTTTAAAAAACTTTTTTACTCACCACTGTCCTCACACTCCACATATAACACACTGAAAGTTCAATTCCATAGTGTTTTTTTTTTTAATTAAAATGTTAAAAAAATTGGTCAAAAATATTTTTTCTTCTCAACTGCCTGTAGCAGCAAATTCTAACATCTTCAATCTCCCATTGGCAACAAAAACAAATTCTTAGCGTTGTCAGAGAATAGGTATAACACCTATTCATTTATTTTTTTTGACGTGTGACATCTTTCTTTGTATTTTTTTAATTGAAAAATTACCTCATCTATTCATTTTTAATATAACATTGGACAAGATAATCACCAGAAGTCTAGTAAGAATAATTTTAATTTATGGCATTATTCTAGGAAAAAGGAGATCTAATATTTGTTGAGTAACCACCATGAACCTCATACTTATTTCATTTAATCCTCATAATAATCCTGTAAAGTTGTTAGATATGATTTCTTATTGATAGATACAGAAAATGGAGGCTTAGAGAAATAGGATGGCTTATTTAGCTAGTCAGTGATTTGAAACCCAGATCTCTGTTGTCAAAATGTTTCTACTTCTGCCCTCTGACTCCAGTTTGTATACAGTGTTAATTTAGGGGAAAAGTACTTGCAACTGTGACACTCATTTTTTATTTGCTATATGTTACACCTTTATTTAGAGAAAAACACCTGATCTGTAAATGTAAATAAATAATAATATTCAATATTTAGAGCAATATTGAGTAAGATAAATTTGTAGATGGAAACAACTGTCAGCAAACAATGACATGACAAAAAGTTTTGGCAACTTTATTTAAGCTAACAAACGAATTTTCACTCTGCAAAGTTATAAATTAATTTTAATAGGCTGATCCAGATGGTCCATTTGGAAAATGGATAGGCTGATCTGTTGAAAATTAAACTAAATTTATCTCTCTCATACTTCAAACTGAAGCAAGAGCGAGGATCGTGCCTATTAAGTCCAGCACATACAGATGGACCAGCAGGTCACACATGGGACTAATCTATTCATTTTAAAAATAAATGCATACATTATTAAATCATTTTCTACTTGCAAGATCTGTTGTGTGCAGTATTTGAAAGAAATGTTGTTTTGTTTTCATTGCTTTTTAGCAGGTTCACTCCACTTTAATTTAGCCATTTTTGTCTTTTTCTTCCTCCTAGTGCTCCAAAATGATTTTTCTGATACTGTCAGTGTTGAGGTCCAAGCTCTGGAGACTATTTAGGTCATGAGGCTCTCCCCACCCCCTTTCTTTGTAAAGGGTTTTATCTCCATTCTTTTTGTGAAGAGCATGAACTCAGTGTTTTTGGAAAGAGAAATGGCCTTTAGAAACAGGGAAGTAGGAGATCCTCTTGGGGCCCTCAGAGTCTTTTAGCTTCTGGGTGTTTTAACAGCCCCATGAATGCAGATTTGTAAATTTATTGCAGTGCCATCTGGTTTTTTGCTCGAACCAGATTACTGTTGGCTTGTGTCTGTCTATTGTGGTGGTCACTCCCTAGGAGCTTGCCCTCTCAATCTTAGGGAAGAGTGATGAATATCAGGGGTCAATAGAAATGGGCCACAGGGCAGCTGTCCAAGACTGCCCTGAACTTGATTAACCCACTGTTGATTTTTTAAAATACAGGACATACTATATAAGCTGTTTAAACTCGCTTTTCTCTATTGCATATGACAATAAAGAAGTGTCATTTGCTTGTGTTACCCTCACCCTTGCTTTAGTAAAATTATGTAGATAAAAAGAAACTAAGGCTGCCTTTTATGTAGTATTGATGTAAGTAGGATTTGCTTGTAGGCCAATCCCTTAATGTGAAATTCTTTTGCAGATATTTTTAATGGGATTTCAGGAACTCTTTCACCGTTGATTTTAAAATGCTCAGTTACATTCTAACAAGTTTAGTAATATTTTAAACTAATTTTATAGTTTACATGTATTATTCTAAAGTACGATTTTACCATTGTTGATAACAATATGACCACTATGTGTTAATCTGGAGTTATTTAATTATTGTAGGAGCTGAAAAAAGGGTTGTTACAGATCTTGCAGACATTAAAAGAATAATGGAATAAACAACTTTAAACCAAAAATTTGGCAACTTAGATGAAATGGGCAAATTCCTTAAAAAATACAATTTGCTGAAACCAACACAAGGTGAAACAAAATTGGAATAGCCCCATGTCTGTGAAAGAAATTTAATTAACTATCAAAAGGCCCATATGGTTTCACTGGTGAATTCTGTCAAACATTTAAGGAATAAATAATACCAATCTTCTACAAATTCTTTCAAAATATAGAGAAGAATAGAACACTTCTTGGCTTGATTGTGAGGCCACCATAATCATAATTCCAAAACCTGACAAAAGACATTAGCAGAAAAAGAAAATATTGAAGGAGAAAGTGAGGAGACACTGCTTCCTGCACTACTCAGTCACCCTATGTACTTGCTTTTCCATTTCATTTCCAACATCAGAAGGCAGCAGAGTTGGGGAGAGAGGTGTGTGAGGCGGGGAGAAGCAGTGTATCCTTTAATTTTCTAAGTTTCAGAATAATCTTATCTCTTGGCACTAAGTAAAGTGTGAACTTTTACTTAAAGGATGTACAAAGTAGCTACAATTTTTTTCTACTTTTATTCCTAAAATGTGAAGCCAAGAAAACCATAGCAACTGTTTTTATAGCTTTTATTCATATCTGCAAACAAGGGCAGAGGCCTGGGAGGATACATGAAAGTGCTCATTACTTTTTTAAAATGTAGCCTTACAACATGCAACTCCTTCTTTGCTTCACATTGGTGCTAATAGGGTCTGTCAGCCCTGCCTTTCTTGTAATTGAGTAAATTGTGACCTCTGTCTAATCCTTCCCCATCCCCCATTCCCTTTGTGTATGTGTCCACTTACCATCCCGAGAACGTGGGCAGTGATAAATAAGGCATTGAGTAGAGCTCTCTCAATGCTTTGAAAGCAGCGTGATGCCAGCCCTCTAGTTATATTTCTTTAAGTGTTTACGTTTTCCTGTATTCTTTCTCTTGTGTAGCTGGAACCCTGGGGATGCAAAGCCATGAGAGAGGCCAAGAAGCTAACAAAGTAGCTGTCTCCCTTGTTAGCTTGTTCCTTTATTCTTTCAAAACAAGATAAAAACCATCTGGCTCAGGGCATTACATTTTCCTCCCCCATGCACCTCTATAGATGGAGACTTCACCTGCAGTGAGGGTTTACATTGATTAGGGAGGGAGCAGTAATTCAAGCTTCCATCCTCTTCAAGGATACTTTGCAGTCTTTAAAGGTGCTGACCCACTGAGTTAAACTGTCAAGGGAGGATAAAAAAGTATCTTCATCCCAGGAGGTAACAGCTGCCAGGTTTTCAACACCTTGCACACTGTTGGAAAAATGTCACAATTGTCAGCTAAAAGAAAAATGACTCTGTTGTCATCTTCTGTTAATGACTGGGCCTTATCAAAGGAACTACATAAGTCTTTAAAAGGAGTAAGTAGCTGTTTTCCTTGCCTACCACAGCCCTCCTCCCCAATTTCCTATGTTCTAAACATTACCTTGGAGGAGATCCCACAAAAAAAGCAGTGAAGTACTTAAAGTGAAAACATCCAGCATAAGCATGGAAGTGATTGGCATAGCTCCTTTATACAGTTGGATGAATAGGAGGATAAAGTACATCACTGACACAGAAAATGACATTATAGTGTGTATTAACAAAACAACAACAACAACAAAATAATTCATAAGCCAGTGAACTGAGAGAAAACATACTGTATTTCTGCTCTTTAGAGGACAATTTGTTTTCAGGCAGCATCCAGATGGGTAAATACCATGACATTTCTTTTTTCAAGAGAGCCACTTCTTTTCTTTCTTTAAAAACAAACTCACCGATTTATTTCCTTTAATAGCTCTGTAATGCTTGTGTATGATTTCATTCCCTTCTTTCTGATTTGATTGATGAGGGAAAGGTTTAATGAAGTCCCTGATATCAGGCAGGCAGGGGTTTTTTTCTATTTGTTTTAGGTTAGTCATTTTAATTGTGTTGAGTAATTAGAAGGTACACACAGCCAAGGGAGCTTTGTTCTGATAATTGCTCAAGAAAACCCATTCTCTATCTGCCAGTTGCTTTGTGTTAAGACATTTCTCCCCCTAGTGGCAATAGTAAGCATTTGACTTGGCAGTAGGCAAGGTGTAATTGTAATGTGACAAACTATGCTTAAGGGACTATCTTGTAAATACTTTAGTTTGGGGTTTGGCATTATTTCATTATATATGTGTTTTTTCCCCCTGTGAAACTTCCTACCTCCATTTTTTTTGTTGTTGTTTT